GCCCCTCCAACTGTGCTGTTTTTGTTTTCGTTTATTTTTCGACAGCATTTTTTTTTTAAAAGGGGGGGGGGGGGGGTCTAAAAATTAATTATTATTTTATCTTAGATGAAAGACGGATTTACTTCGTTTTTTGTTTCTATTGCCTTTTTATATCGATATTGTTCAAATACAAGGGTTTCTTTCATGATTTCTTTGGGGGGAACAAAGAAAACTTAAAGGTTTAAAAGTCTATCCCCCTGGGAGGGGGATAGACTTTTCCCCAATCTTGGAAAAGTCTATCCCCCTCCCAGGGGGATTAATTTCAGACTCGACAGGCTCCACCTAACAGAGAGGTCAAATCTAATGGCTGCGCAATTAGAGAAAAAGACAGAAAAGGTTTGAAAGATTTATCATTAAAAAAAAATACCACTGTGGGTTATGTCCACTGGCTGCTGTAATTACTCTTTTATTTGACCCTGTAGGAATGAAATGAGTTTTCTGCAGAAGGAGGCAGATATATGAACACCCTCAGTGTTTTGCAAAGTCAATTTTGACAGATTTTCTTTGTTTCAGCCTATGCTGCTGCTCTGAGTCAAACCAACCTGTTCCCCTCCAGGCCTGTGGGGGCGCTGCACCGAGAACCACTAAAGGAAACTACACAAAAACCTCTGAAGACACTGAGAGCAACTTCCTTCTTCACCAGATGGAAACAGAACTGAGGCAGTTAGAGCATTTCTCTTTAGCTTTTGGCAAAAAAAAAAAAGAAAATCACAAGCTATTTCTCCTGCTAACGTTAGTGTGTGTTTTTGTTGAATTTACCCAGAATGCCCTGCGCTGTAGTCCGCCTCCCGCCGCTTTTGGAGTAGTGACCCGTTGCACATTAAATGTCTCAGGTATGCTGAAACAGAGTTAGTGAACTTGAATCCGTCTCATAAAGAAGTAAATGATCATTTAAAGTCATAAACTTCAGATCTGAGACGTTTTAACCGTGTTGAGCTTTTAGTTTCATAAAACAACTGGGATTTGATGATTGTTGTGGTTTATAATCAGATTAACCACTATGACCAATGAAAGCAAATAAGAGCAGATTTTTAATTTTCAGCAGCTGTTGTTCTGATTAATGTTGGAGATGTTTTATGAGAACGGCGGCCATATTGGATCCTAACTGGGGCTCCAGATCTCTAGCATGTTTTCCTTTTAATTTTCCAACCCAAATATTCCACATTACAGGGAGAAATCCCTCATAAAGCTGCATCTTTAGGCCTACAATCAGCTCCAAGAAGCTACTTTTTACAGCAAATTTCCTTCACTCTGGAACAAAGGTGTTCAAAGTGAGGCGCGGGGACCATTTAAGACCCACAGACTGGTTCTGCACAGTCTCCCAACCACAATTCAAGAACACATAAGACAAAAATATCACTAAAATCTACTTATAAAAATGTCAGGTGCAACACAAAATTATTATCTTGTTTCCTAGAAAAATGAAGATTTTGAATTTTGAAGAAGCAAAAACTGTTTGAAGTTTTGGATCTATGATGATGTTCCTATCCTCCTGACTACCAGTAGTTCATTTTTGTCCTCTGTAGAGGACATTTCTAAACTTGAATATCTCCCACCCCCTGCATTCTACTGAATTAATTCCTTTTGGTATCTGGAGAGGACATTTAGGGCTTTTCAATGATACCAGATGGGTGGGACTTTTGTACCTTCCTTTTTCTAATTCATAAAAATGGCATTTATCAGTAATAACACATTTTATGGGAAGAGACAAAGTAAGTGCATAAAACCTTTTATTACCTTACAAACACTGTGGGATTTAAAAAAAATGGTGGTTGGACAACATTTTTTTTTCCTGGTAGTCAGGAGGCTATAAAAAAAATCTTATTATTTTGTTAAAACAGTTTATGGTTTGTTTATTCACAAGGCTAAAAAACAATCACATTTTTGGTGATTTTAGTTTTAAAAATAATATTTAAAAAAGTTTAGACACTCTCTTCCTTCAGGTAACAGGTACAACGAGTCAGTAACCATAGCAACATAAAATAACATCAGGAGGAGGAAACCTGATTTAGTATCTTGACTCTGCTGGTGGTTCAGTTCGTCCAATGAAAACGCTCAGAGTTTCAGATAAACACATACATGCTAACAAACATGCTAACACTGCTGCCTCGCAAACAGCGGAAGGAGTCGGATAGCTTAGCCAACCTGAAATCACACAAAGCTAGCAGAGGAACGGCGACATGAACGAGGAGGAAGCGGAGGAGGACGATTCTGGATCTGATGGGTCAGGAACAGAGAGCCTGACGTTTCAGGTCACACTCATTAGAGAGCAAAACACATCAGGACCAACAGGGGGCAGCGCAGCGCAGCAGGCGACCGCAGGAGGAGGGAAATCACCACCAACTGCATCCATCTGGATGTTTATCCATCCTTCCTTCAAGAACAGCCTTTCCTCCTCTCTACTGTCATGTCTTTCTTCCCCAGAATGCACCTTGCTTCCTTATGAGTTGGGAGCAGCCAACTGGTTAATAATTTGGACTACAACTTTTATCTGCAGTGGATCATCAGAGCGTCGATTCAAACTATTTCATTAAATCACAGGAAGGAGAATCATTCAGGTCCGTCCAACAAGGAGGAAGTTCTCAGGTTTCATGTCACTGTTTCTGTAGTTTCTGTTGTGGTTCATGTCAATGTGGACAAAACTGAAAATGTAAATATTGTTATTTTGAAGGGGCAGGATTCTGGGTTTTCCAGGCATGTAGTCATTTTATAATCCTGTTACCATCAGTAGTTATAAAAATGATATAAAGATTAATATGACTGAAAAGAAGTTTGACTTCCTGATTTAAAGCCTTCAAATTGGGCCTCTGTCACTTTAAAAACTCCTGCTCTTCCTGAAGCTCCGTCCCAACATGGCTCCTCTTTAACCCTTTAATGTTTTTACCAACGTTGCTCTGAACAGCAGCTCCTATAACGAGCTCAGCAGCTGTTTGCTAATTACTGCTGGCTAGTCTGAAGGAGCTGAATGGGGGAGGAGCTGCGGCTGAAGGTGGGGCTAGGTCCATTCAGGCATTTTGCAGCTGGATGTTGCTGGTTGCCATGGAGATTAAATGCTTTCTCAAACATAAAAAATCAAAGCAACGCTGCAGGTTTCTGATGAGGGAAAAACTTTATAACCTGACTCTTTTTAGTAGGAACTGGCCCTTTAAATACTGACAGTGAAAGTCGTTTGGATTTTTTTCGGCCATTTTGGTCAAAATGACAGACGATGAAAACTCGTGTCGTGTCTTCATCTCTGCGGCTGTTTGGATGCAACAGGTGATAGATTTTTGTTTCTGTTGACAATGTTTCCGTTTAATAAAACCTGCTGCTCATTTCAGGCTCCGCCCATCGACAACCAGCAGGGTGTGTGTGTGTGTGTGTGAATGAAAGGGACAGTGAATGAGGCTGTGGGGGGGTGGCAGCTGCCTGGATGACCTCAGCGGCAGCTGTTCCCCCCCCCCCACTCTGTGTGGCAGCGTGGCTTTGAAGTTCAGTTCAGCGCCGATGAAGCTTTGAATCACATACCGATTCTGATTACTGCCCTGCATGAAAGCAGATCATCTGCTGGCGCCGCGCCACCTCACCGCTCTCTGCTCCAAACGTTTACATGTACATCACCTCAATCATTCTGTCTCACACTGAAACACAAAGTTCATCACAATGCCGCCGGGTCAAATAAAGCCTGGAGAACAGAGGAACGGCAGCCAAACGTCTTCCTGCCGCAACGTTTTCCTGCTGCGTTTGAAGCGCCACTGGAGATGCTTCGCTCTGATTCTGGGGGACGCAGCTCTAATCTCTCTGCTGGCTGAAACCTGACACACACACACACACACACACACACACACACACACACACACACACACACACGGGGTGGCCTGGCAAGTCCACCAGCATTCACACACTGCGGCGGTCCGCTGGCACAATGTCCTTCTGCAGGTATTTTGTTTACATGGACGCGGGTTGAGGGAAGCGGCTATTTAAGGCGGCAACAGAAAAGAAAACACACCTGTGCCGGAGCTGTCGACACGGCAACGGGCCGGACCAGAACTCTACAGAACTACAAAGACAGGTCCGGGCTGTTAGCCAAAACATGCAGCAGACTCAAAACTATGTTAGCTTAGCCTCTTTCCAGCTTTAATAATCAATTAATTATGATCAGTTAAAAGGAGCTCAATCATTTCCACTGGTATGACTTATTATTTTTCCTCTTTCTACCAAAAATTGGATGATAAAAACCTTCAGAAATTATTTTTACTCTGTTAGTCGAAATGATGCAGGAATAAAGATGTAATTTTGTGAGAACTCCAACAAAAAATAACAATAAATTAAAATGAGAAATGTTGAGCATCTTGTGAAGCTATACTTTGGTCTCAGCTTTAATATTTCATATAAATGTTTCATCTTTTAACGTCAGTAGGGAGTTACATCAGATTCTGAAAACTCTTCTTTATTCTGCCAGTTTTATGAATATTTTATCGTGATTAAATGTAAATTCTCAAAGCCTCAGTCACAAAACGCAAAGACAGGATGATAATTAAATTACAAAATTAAAAATGCCAAAAAATATTTTGGGAAATATTTGTTATCATTTGTAATTTATTTTTTTTTTTTTTAAAAAAGCAAGAAAAAAAAAGATTAAAATCAGGAATCAGATCTGGTATGAAAAGATCTGAGGTTTTATTTTTAATATCACTAAGCTGTTGGAGGAGTCGCTGTGAGGCTTTGGGACCTCAGTGTCCAGCATGGTGGTGGCAGCATCATGCTGTGAGTCAGAGATACTGGTGCGTTATGTAAATCGGAGGAGAACCCTGAAAACCAGCAGCTACATGATTGAAATGATCTGAAACTCACACCCAGAAAACAGACCAAAGTTCTGCAGGATTCAGTGAACGTGAGGCAAGAAAAATATATTTAAAAGAAAAGTTAAAACAAGACGATGAGCCGTTACTCAAGAACCTCAAACGCCGAAGAATAAAATGATTAAAACGTCTCAACAATCTCAGCGATTTGTCGATGAAAACGTAAACCAGCTCCTCCGTTTCATCCGAAATCATAACTGGCATTGCGCTCACCGATGACAATCAGCGTGTAGTTGATGTTGACGCTGCCAAACCCGTTGGTGGCCTTGCAGACGTAGGTGCCGGCATCCTCCGTCTCCACTTCCTTGATGCGCAGGCCGTGCTGCAGCACGCGGAACCGGGTCCAGCCGCTGTGGATGTGTCGGCCATCTTTGGTCCACATCATGAGGGGCGGCGGGTCGCCCTCCACGGGGCACGCCAGCTTGGCCGTGCGACCCAGACGGACGCTCTGACGATGGGCCACCTTCCCCGCCACCCTGGGAGGACCTGCAGCAAACAAAGAACCTTAGCTGCTGAGGGAAATTCATGTTGGACGCCAATTTTCAAAATGGTCATAAAAATACATTCAGTTATCACTGAGGAATACATTTGGTGTCAATTCATACATAACTGGACCCGCAGAAATCATCTTTACAGATCATCTTTGGATATGTCAAGATGGCCACCATGGTTGTCATGGCAGTAAATTAATTTTTGCTCTAAAATCACCAATTATATAAATGTGTTTAGTGTCAAATCATAGCCTACATATTTTGAACTGTAGAAATCATATTTTTTGATCTTATGTTTTTTTTTTTCTGTTTCTTTTTCTGGCAGACCTTTTGCAAAATGGCTGCCATGGTTGTAACTGCAAACATAGACATAACATAAGAGTAAACCCCGCATTGACCGCTCCGGCGCAGGAAATACGG